GGTTTGTGAACCCCATTTATGAGATGATTTTGGATTTGATTTGTGGTTTATTGGAGGATAATGTTTGTGGATTATACTCACATTTTTATGGTTAGTGATGTTAACTAACAATATGACCTAGAGGGGGCTAAATAGGTGATTTCAAGAAACTTGACATATATTGCGGAATTAAAACAGTCAAGTTTGATGTAAGATGAATCAGGTAAAATAGAGTGTTGATATAAGCACAAACTGGTTATATCAAGCAATATAGTGCAATGCTTCTATCAGGCAGTAAATGAATATAAGCAAAGAGATAAAGAACAATGCACACAGAGATTATAGTGGTTCGGCTTGGTATAAGCCCACGTCTACTCTCTCACACTAATAGACTACTGGCTGAATTCTACTAGAAATCTTATTGAAGCTGGTGTTGCTTATACCTAAGCTGATAGATTTCACTATCTCACACTAAAGCACAAATTATAACACTGCCAACACTTTTTGAAAGATTGCAATTTTATACTCTCATAAGACAATGTAAAGGATATAAAGCTCTCTCTAAATTTGGATTTATGAACTCTTGATCCATCTCTCTCTTTGGTGCCTTGATCTCCTTTTATACTCCTCCACATCTGATCTTCTCATTGGACAATCTTCAAGAAGATCAATCTCCAATCAGACCATTAGACATCATTGAGAAGATCAATTAGCCGTTGAAGTCTATCAATCAGAATTCCAGTAGATTTGGTTGCCCATACAATCAAATCTTGGTTTCTAGAAATAGAGTAGCTCCAGCTGTAGAAAATATCTTGCCTTTGAGATAATTGTCAATCAATCAAGATATCTCGCATAATTGATTTTTTCTGCATGGATAATCTTAAGATTGATGGTCAGTCAAAATCTTCTAAAATAGGAATCCATTCCAAATCACTAGTTGTTAAGGGATGAGATAAAATATCTCAAAATAATAATTTTGAAGTTCGTGACAAGATTGACGTCGCAGGTAGAATAAGTGTTCCACTTATATCCATAGTCACCACTAATATCTAGCTTTGTAGTTATCTGTTGATATCATACTTTGACCAGGCTTCTACTTATATTAAGCGATCGTAGTACTCTACTAATATCCATATTACACAGTACTCTGCTGATATCTAGCTTACACCCTGGTGATTTTCAACTTATGTCCTGTTGATATCAAGCTCTGATTATATCACATTTCCTAGTTATATCCAATTGCTATCCATTGGTCTTCCTCAGTATCTTAGTGATCCAAGACTATATAAATTGTTCACCTTGTCTGGTACCTCCAAGTTTCCATGAACTTTCCGTTCTTCATGACTTGTTCATCTCCATAAAGGTCTGTCTAGTTTTCACCAATCTTTCACTTCATACTTTGAATTCCTTGGATATTAGCAAAGTACATCAACTTTACTCGAGCTTCAGTCTTCTGGTCCCTCCAAGCATATTGGCAATCGTGGCTCTACTTCACTAATCACCTATCCATGGTACCTCCAAGCTTTACCGAACTCCTCATTCTAGGCTTGTTCACCTTCTGCTGTCACGCCCTGAACCCGACGAGCACGTGAACATCCCACGACGGTCGTTAAGAGTACGATGTCCCAGGACACATCGCCGACCCGATCGATTCACTAACGATCATACGCATGCAAAAGCGAACTATAACACCCTATCAACATCACATATAACTCGGGACAGCCAATGAGATAGCAGGAATACACATCAACAAAACAACTTTCATAAACACACTGTTAACCCAAGTTCGGTACAATTTACTAGCCCAACCTGAGGGTGACTTGCCACCAACCGCACATACAGAAGGATTGGGTTAACCTAAACTCCTCTATAGCAAGGCATCCAAAAGCGGAAAGTTCATCCATCCCCACATCGACCCTAGTCTCTGATCCTTATGTGACGTCTATTTGTCACCCCAAACCTGAAAATATTTAATCACGGGGGGTTGAGATAACTCAGAAAGTAAGCTCCCTAAACCTCGTTTAGGCGAATACGTTGCCTCCGGATCGTCCTAAACATACAAGGCTACTGAAATAAACGTGCCATAATACAATCATAGGCATTCTTACCTGGCTTAGACACACATATATGCCACAATGATGCATTAACCATATCACATAACCAAAGCATGTAATAAGAATTCACATGCATCAATACATCACAGTTGTGCGTGCCTCGATTATAAGGCAAAACCCACTTGGGCACGTCCCATACCATGCCTAGCAGTTTTTACCCCATAATCAAGCACTATGCATCACACGTACCCAGATTATTCGTGACCCATGTAACAGTACACACCTCAGGCCCACTTTCAATCCACGGTCCACATACAACCATCTCATATTCACAATACTCCTTAGCCCGCGTTACAGTATGTGCCTCAGGCTATGTTTCTTGCCCGCATTACAGTACACGCCTCAGGCTCAACATCCTCCACCTACGGCATAAACAACCGTCTCATTTTCACAACACTCCTTAGCTCGCGTTACAGTACACGCCTCAGGCTATGTCTCTTGCCCGCGTTATAGTACACGCCTCAAGCTCAACATCCTCCACCTACGGCACAACTCGCGTTACAGTACACGCCTCAGGTTGGCGGTCTTCTGGTAATACCGGACATCGTCCCGCATTACAGTACACACCTCAGGACGGGTTCAATTCCCCGCGTAAAACGCATCAGGGATTAGGTGATCACACGAGCACACCATCACACCACTTTTTATCTTTGCCGCTCAGGGCTTTTAGTGATCACTCATGTCATGCAATGCATTCACTTCGCGTGTTAATCACACCACATGCTCACATAATGCATGTCAACTCTATCGCAACCCATGATCACCACCAAATCATCCTCAGTTTCAACGACATCAATCATTACAAATCAACCAATCAATCAACATGGATACCGAGTATTCAATATCAAGTCACACGTGCATAACCACCATTTAGGCCGTCAATCAACCACCATTCAGCCACGAAACTGATCAATCCACACGCACATGCCGAATAAGCCACTTCCCCTCAATTAAATCCATAAGCCCTTCCACGCACACGGTCACAATTAGGTAATCACCAACCACCCTCCAATCAACTCATACAACACACATTCAAGCATTAATTCCAGTCATGAGGGCAGCAACTATTCAACCTTGACACCCCCACCATTCTGCTCATAAAAATGAACATCCATAGAATCAGGGTAAATCTAGGCAGTTTACACCGTGACCGAAATCCCATCAAAATAAATAGTAAACGACCTCCAAAAATTCTAAATTTTAGATATATCACAAAAAACATCTTGATAAACATTTCTTATGAGAACACGAAATCCGGTTCAATCTGCAACCATACCTTTTTGTCCCTCGAAACCAAACCAGAATCAGTTCGCTCTAACAGACTATTTTGTCCTCAAAATACATTTCTTTCAACACCCAAATCACCTTGAAAAGATTTGAAATTTTTATATGTCATAGAAAGGAAAGTTGCCAACAAATTTTGTGAAGGAAGTATATTGAAAATAGATCTGAAAAATTTTATAAAAATTCGGCAAGACAAGAAGGTCGGGATGAACAGTGTTCCGGCCAGTTTTAAGACGGTCTGAAAATGGGTTTTCGTACAACCCAAATGGCCTCCAAAAATTCCAAATTTAAAATATGTTATACTTCAAGATGTTGGGAACAACTTTCATGAAAAAAACTTCCTCAAACTCGGTTCACACAATTCTCCACAAAAATAGCAAACCGGATGGGTACAGTAACCGCGAATCCAAGAATCACACCAAACCTCAAGGATTCAAACCCTAATTGATTTCTACCGAAATTCAACCGCCAAAACTCATTCCACCATGTCCAAACTATCATCCAACAGCCACATGAACATCCATGAACACAACAAGGGATCAAGCTCTCCTCTAATCCATCTATAATCACTTCCATCAACCCCTAAATCAATCCATTAACAACCCATCATCCTACCCAAGGTTTAGAGAGAAACTTGCCTTAAACCTAAGCAAGAAAAGCCCAACAAGCAGAGCAAAGGCCTCGGCAAGGCAGCGACTCCGGCGAGCGGCGGCGGCGGCAACGCACGGTGGCTAAACGGCGGGCTTGGCCAGTTGACCACGGTCACGGGAGGAGGGGAAAAAGGGAAGCCGGCCGAGAGAGGGGTGAGGAAGAGGAAAAACGTGGGAATGAGGGGGAGAGAGAGAGAAGAAAATATATATACTAAGGCACCAATAATTGGTGTCCTTCCCCCAAAGAAAATTACCATCTTGCCCCTCTCTCTACTTTCCATCCGACAGCCAAGATTTGTTCTTATCCAAGGATCAACGGCCAAGATCAATCCTTACCCAAAAATATCCAAGGGTAAAACAGGAATTTCACAAAAAGTGCAGGGGAAAAATCGTCCAAAAATTTATATTTCTAAAGTTAGTGTGAAATGACTAAAATGCCCCTCTCATTTATACTTGGCCTTCATAAAATCTCAAGGGCAAAACGGTCATTGTCCATTTTCTTCCAAAATTCCAATTTTCTGACGAATTCGAGCAAATTCAAAGCTAACCACGGTACTTCTGATGTCGTCAAATTACTCTGTCATGACTTTCAAAATTTCCAACACCCAAACTCAGTTTCTATTTAATTGCCAAACTCAATTAAACTCGACTTGATCTTATCTCAAACTAACGGGTGCCTTTCGGGAAAATTCGTACATTCGACCCGTGGTCGATACTAAATCAAACCACGTTTAAGTTCACTTGAACTATGGCGACCTCGATTGTCATGTAATTGCGAGGATCAATCATTAGTACTCAATGATTACTTGGCTTCCCAATATTCTGCCTGGCGGGTGGGGCAAAACTCTTATTCCCAGTTACAGGTTTCTTTCCCAAGCGACGGTTGTCTCTGATCTCGGCAAACCGCGATCCAGATGCAGCTGTCTTATCCACCTGGTCCCGCTCAAGAGCCTGAGCTCTACCATAGATGTCCTCATAGTTTCTCAGATTGGACGGTATTAGCAGGGGTACGAATGTCAGGTCTCAATCCTTCTCGAAATTTTCGTGCCTTATCCTCGAGATGTTCCACCATCATCGGCGCAAACTTAGACAATCTAGCGAATTCCGCCTCATACTGATCGACAGTCAGCTGACCCTGGCGGAGTCGCACAAATTCTGCTATCTTCCTTTCCCTGGCACTATCCGAGAAGTATTTCCCATAAAAATTTTCAGTAAACACGGCCCAAGTCTGGGCGATACCTTCCGGAAATACTCTTCCCTTGGTGGCCTTCCACCAATCACTCGCATTTTCCTGCAACTGATAAACGGCTAGGGTCACTTTCTCCTGCTCGGTGCACCCCAACACTTCAAACGCCTTTTCCAGTTCCTCTACCCACTTCGGTGCAGCCTCGGGGTCACCTTTTCCCATAAACTTAGGCGGCTTCAATTTCATAAATTGCTCCACTAGATGGGGCATCAGTCTAACCCCTGCTGGTTGGGCTGCCCTGGATTGGCCTGATTTCTTTCATTACCAGCTATCGGGGCAGCCTCAGCTGCCTGAGCATAAGCTGCGGCCCTTTCCTGAGCCTGCAATCCCATAACATGCCCTATCTCCCGTAGGGTATTCATTACCTCATCAAACCTGGGATCTCTAGCCTCCCGGACTCCCTCGCTAGCCTGGGCTTGGGGCTCTTTCCCCCTTCTCCTACTTGGAGCTTGAATAATGTCCTCTAGTCGGCGGTCTCGGCCCTCTTGGCCTTCTGAACTAGGCTGACCTTGGGGCTCCTTACCCTTTCTTCTACTCATATTGCTACCCGGCTATACACTACCTGCTATAATTCCATCAAGGAATTAAAGACTTAAACCAATCTATCCAAGTCTAAGTCCTAGGTAGGTATCAAACAACAATAAAACAATCAGCATGCGGCTTAATAAGAACCAATCAACACATCACCCAAGGAGTTCGCGTACTCACCTCAGGTCCTGCCGCACCTACACTTTACGAGTCATCCCAGTAAGCACTCAATCAAACACAACTGTCAGGAGATGCATGTAGCACACAAGGTCACCCTACTGGCTACCCATGGTCTCATCGTTCCTTATCACTCCAAGCTTCGACCAGATTGGACCGAGCTGACCTTGCTCTGATACCAATTCAAACTGGGATGTCACGCCCCGTACCCCACGAGGTGCGAGCATCCTACCTCCGGTCGTTTCTGATGCAACACTCCCAGGATGCGTCGCCAACCCAAAACCCAATCAGAGATAAGGCACATGCGGAAACAATGTATATAAATATATATATACACCCATACAAAACAACACACGTGAGACCAAGGTAGAACAACCATCAAACAAGAATATACACCTGTACTCTTATAGTAAAAACCCTTTTTACACTATCCTTTTTAAACAACTCCAAAAACATACAACAGTCAACTGCCACTATAACAAAAAGGGTAAGTGGCACTAGTGGTTAGGCTAACTAGGGTAGGATCGCCATTCAAAAAGAGACGATTTTTACTCCCCAGGGTACCGGCCTGCTCTAGGGCTCCCAGTCAGGGTCTGAGGACTCCGATGAATCGCCCGATGGTTCCTCTGAAGACTCCTCCGAATCCATGGCCTGTGCTTGCTCATCCTCGGCTGCGATCCCCTCGTCCTCCGAATCCAGCTCCAACTCTGGGTCCAGATAAAGACCTAACTCGTCATCTTCCTCAGCTCCTATCTCCACATCGGACCCTACCTCGGCGACCTCTCCAATTTCTTCCTTATCATCTATGTCCATGTCTTCGAGTTCCTCTTCCTCGTCTTCGAGCTGATCATGATCTTCGGCGATTACTTGAGGCTCCCCATGCATGGGCTCATCCACGCCGTCTACGTCATACACATCTTGAGGATTGACTATTTCACCATCAGCCATTCGTGGAATCATCAATCCCTCTTGGTCGACCGGCACATCAAAAGTCTTAAGGGGTTGCCCTAGGTTTCCGTCTGCATCTCGTAAGCACCATGCCACGTACTCCTGGGTCTGATGAAAGTACTCTCCCACGTTTACAAACACCACGGACCGGTATCTTACGTATGATTTCCCATTTCCTACGGGGTAGGTACTGGTATACTGGTGTATCTGTACAGGTATTCCAAAAAGCGGCGGGTTCGGCATCCTTACGGCTGGGGGTCTGAAAAGTTTCGGTTTACACAACCGTGAGACGAATCTCAATGAGTTCAACCCCTAAACTTAGGCTAGGCTAGCATGCAATCTCCTGACCGGAAATAAATATTTGAAACCATAATGCAACAACAATCAAATAATTCTCTGACCCTGTAGGTTAGGCAGTTCAATAAATAATAATCACGGCACGTACGTGGCACACATTACCACACGTACGCCAATCACATGCTCATGCACCGAGTCTCACACACTCGCATGCCAGTCCATGCATGTTCATGCATGCAAATGTCGTCGACAGGTCACGTGCATTTCCCGGCCCACTGGCCCACACTGGCAATCGCCCAATTTATTATTTATTACGACGACTCGAGTCAACAACATTTACGGCCCGGTGCGTCTAGCATGCTTCAAAGTGCATGAGGCGCAGCAACCGATCTGGCCCACTGTCTCTAGCCTGCTTCAAAGTGCATGAGGCGCAACACTGATCTCCTTACGAACCAGAGCCTGCTTCAAAGTGCATGAGGATGGTCGTCTTCCGGACGTACCGGGCATCGTCCTGCTTCCAAAGTGCATGAGGACGGTATCGATCCAAAGGTCACGACCCGAAGGTCTTTAGGTGATCACACAACTTATTATTATCCGAACCCAGCGTGTATGACGCCAGGGGTATTTTAGGTTATCACACACTCATGGCAGGCACGCATTCTCGCACAATTTCCCCACATGCCTCACACTAGGCATACATAATGCGTGTCCATGTTATGCAATGCAATGCACCATGAGCACCAATGAAATTCAAACACTCAATATCACACCACGTGCTCAATTGGCCCAATTAATACCATGTGGTCTGATGTGCGATTCACAATTCAATAATTAATTGCAAGCCAAACAGTGGCCATTCGCACTCCACAAAAATCAGCCACACCACATGTGACATAGCAGTACTCAATCAATCACAATTAAGCACGAATTACATACAATCAGTAAACCCGGACATACCCGGCAATTCCACCAATGGGCTCCTAAAATGGTCATTTAATCCAATTAATCTCCCCAAATAATTCTCATTAATCCACTAAATTTTCCCGATAACAATTTCTACCAATCAGTCCTCAACCCAGTCTGAAATACACACTGATACTACCTAAGCCAGTCCAGAAAAATGCACTATCAGTCCTAATCCGGGTTTAGAAATTTTACTCACTTAATCCAAGGTCACGACGACGGGGAACGGTAGCTGATCACTGGTGAACAGTGAAACCGGCAGCGGAATTCCGGCGACGGCGTACAGACGGCACGAACAGTGACCGTACGGACGGCGGTGAAGCGATCCGACCGTACTGGACATGTACGGTCGGCGTGCATAACGTGGGTTGGACGGGCTGGGTAGCGACGAAACAGCGATCCGAGCTCCGGCGAAGCTCCGGCGGCCCTATTTGCCGGACGGGAAAGAGAGAAAAAGAGGAAGAAAGAGAGAGAAATAGAGAGAGAAAGGGTCGAACAGGGGCAAGGCTGGAGGCTGTGGTGGTCGACGGCGGGGCACGGCGGTCGGCGGCGGTGCTCCGGTGGCCGGCGGCTAGCTCCGGCCAAGCTTGGCCGAGAGAGAACAAGAGAGGGAGAAAGAGATTTCGGGAGGAGAAAGAGAGTGAACCGGCCAGAATGAGGAGGAGAGAGAGTGGGCTGGTCCAAGCAGTCAAATATGGTGGACCAAGGGCGCCACGTGTCGCCGATCCGCGTGATTTGACCAAAACGCCCCTAATCTAACGGTTCTAATCCATCCCTATCCAAAAAGTGAAGGGTAAAATGGTCTTTGGCCCAATAATGCAGCTGATAATCCATATTTAATTACCCTAAAATTTTCTGAATATTCGGAACTGAAAACGGCCTAGGGGCAAAACCGTCATTTTTCCGGTCCCGAGGCGAAATTCCATTTTTCGCCAGTACCAACCCTCCATGTGCGTGGCCAACATAATATGGCATCGGAATCGCGAAAATAGCTTCTTAAGCCCTTGAAAATTGACTGCCAAGTTCTGGGAATAAAATAATATTATTTTTTCAATTTTTGTCGAAATTCCAATTTTTGGCCATAACGACTCCTGGTATGCGTGGCCACCCAAAAATGGCGTCGGCCTCGAAAAATAACCTCATTTGGCCTTGAAAAGCAACGCTGGCGTCCCGAGGGGCAAAATCGTAATTTTTCATCCCCGGACCGAAATTCCAATTTTTACTCGCACTAACTCCAAACATGTGTGGCCAGCGTGATATGACGTTAGATTCCCAAAAATAGTCTCTTAAGCCGTCGAAAATCGACATCGAAATCCGGGCCCAATTTCGTGATCAAAACTCGCTCGAGTTTCAATTTCAGGGTCTCTGGCTAACGAGCGGCTGTTTAGGACATACGCGTATCGACTTAGGGTTATTCGAATTACGACGGTCCCGATCATTGAGAGAATGAGAAATCATCACTAGTTCCAGAGGTCGCGATCGTTCGGTTCAGGTTCAGGACTGGTTGGTCACGTGCGCTTTCGGTCTTGCAGAATCACCTGCGATCCGATTGTACATCGTTGGCCAAACCAAATCCATCACCTTTCCTAAGATCGGCCCACATTGGCCCAAAATATTCCCTCATCATATCTGGAGATCGGTGTCCCGTTCACTATCGAGTCCTTGGTCCACGTACCGTTTCCTAATTAGCCATACCCTATTGGTTAGTATCCCGAGAGTGATCAGCTCTGAGCGAGACTTACTAAAATGAAATGCGAAATAATGTCAATTTTATTGATCCCGGAATTACATCGAAATTCGGGCTGTTACAGGGATCGTACTCTGGCTCATACTCGGGTTCGTCCTCTGGTTCTTCTTCAGGCTCTACTTCTGGGGCCTTTTCAGGTTCTGCTTCAGGGTCTTCTTCTTCCTCTAGTATCACCTCGAGATCCACATCCATCGAATTATACCCTGCTTGGGATTCTTCCAGCTCCGAATCTTGTTCGACCCCTGAGGGCTTAGGTGCTGCAGGTGCAGGATGAAGTTCGAACTGCGCTAGACTAGTCTCCAAACTAGTCATCTCGCCATCAAGAGGGGGTATGGCTGATGGATCCCAATCCCCAACTCCATCAAAGGGTACATCGAAGCCACGGACGGGGCCAAACTCATCTACCCCGTCCCGAAAGTGCCAGGCGGTATAGGTATGGACCTGCCAAAAGGGTAACCCTACGTCTACCCAGACTACGGAAGTATGCCTGATCCAGGTCATATTATCGTCTATCGGGTACTCTACAACATTATGGTCGGTGTGCATCGGT